TTGCCTGCAGGGTAGATGGGATGGCTCTATGGGCTGACAGACTTTTCCACCATCACTCTCCCAGGTCGCTGTCTCCTCTCCAGGCCCAAGTCCCTTGTGGGCAGCGGACCCTCCACTCGCCTCCTCTCCCTAGAGGAGGCTCAGGCTCGGTCACAGGGTCGGCTGTCTGGACAGGGGGCCAAGGCTTCTGCTTCACCTGAAGACCAGTGAGTAACACTAGGGATCGGGGAGAGTGGGGAGAAAGGCCCTGACCCGGAGAGTGTCCCATCTCACTCTCTTGTCCTGTATAGGAGGAAGGGGGTCATTGGAGAGAAGCGCAGGAAACCAGGTGGCAGCAGCTGGAAGACCTTCTTTGCCCTGGGCAGAGGCCCCTCCTCGGTCCGAAAGAAGCCTTTGCCCTGGCGTGGGGCTGGTCAAGGGTCCCAGCCGCCCCCAGGTGAGCAGGCTCCCGGGCCCAAGGCGGCAGGGCAGGCAGACAGGGTGGGGTGCAGCCTTCCCACTAACTGCTCCTCCTGTCTCTTCTGGAAACCCAGGTGGCCCAGTGGAAACGGCCCCTCTACGCTCAGCCAAGAGCGAGGAGTCCTTGTCATCCCAGGCCAGCGGAGCCGGTGAGGACCCAGCCAGGGGTGGCCGGTTCCTGGGGCCTCCGTGGGAATCACAGTCGGGGGGAGGTGGGGACAGAGGGAGATTGGGCTCAGCAAGTGTTTATTGTGTCTCCTGTGAGCAGAACCTTCTGCTTAGAGCTACCCACTCTGTGCCCTCCAGGGGCTCCCCATCAGGCAGAGTAGATATGTGGTACACAGAATAATGTGTCACACATGGTGCTCCATGCAGTCCAAGGTTGGGTCGGGGGAGGTTGCGTCCAATAGGGCCTCAGAAAAGGACCATCAGAGCTGGAAGGAACCCCAGGGGTCATCTAGGCCACTGCCCTGAGGCCCCAAGAGGTTATGGGATTTATCCAAGTCACCCGGGTATTAGAGGGAGAGCTGGCATTGAAAGCCAGGGTCTTGGACTCCAAATCTGCCTCTTTCCACTGCCTCAGGCTGCCTCCCCATGGACACCCCAGAGGAGAGGAAAGGGAATTGTCTTGAGATGTGGATAGAAATTCAACGGGGAGAGGGCAGATTGCAGACCTACAGGACAGCAGGGGCGTGTGGCGAGGGCAGGAGCAGAGGAGCAGGAGACAGGAGGAACCTGGTTGGGCTGGGGCAGAACATCCCTAAAGGGGAGGATGAGGAGGTGAAACTGGAAAAAGAGCTTGGAGCCAGATTGTGAAGGGCCTTGAATGCCAGTGTGAGTGAGCCCTTCTTCTAGGCCATGGGGAGCCATGCTTGGCTTTTCAGCTGAGCAGTAGCCTGACTGTCTAGGAAGGTGGGTGGGAGTAGCGGTGACAGCTCTGTTCTGGCTTCCAGCCTTAACTCTAGAGGCAAATCCCTTTCCCTCGTTGGGGCTCAGTTTCCCTGTCTCTGAGGTCTCTCTGAACACTGAATGAGTCGGTTTTATTCCATTGAGCATTGATTTTAAGTGTGCTGGGCCCCGGGGACACCTACTGCAAGTAGCTCCCACTCTGCTGGCAGTCAGGAGTAGGCATGGGTGGGTACAGAGAGCTGGCAGGGGCACAGATGGTATGACGAGGCAAAGGAGAAAAGAAGCCAGCGTGCTCTTGGAGAATTAGGGAGGAAAGCTTCATTCAGGCAGGACCAGTAGCAAGGGAGCCTTTACAGATGAGGCAGCAGAGCTGGAGATGAGGGATGGGCACCAGGAGACAGGCCCTTCCCCTCTCTAGGCCAAGGGATTGGCCGGGGGAACCTCCAAGGTCCCGTCCAGCTCGGGGCCTGTGAGCCAACAGCGAGCTGCTGCTGGGGTCTTTGGGCGTGAAGAGAGCCAGCTCTGTCTTCTGAAGAGCATTTGGGCGGATTTCTGAATGCTGGCTCCAAGAAGGGGGAGCCCCATCCGGTGGGCCGCGAGGGGACAGGTGACTTAGGGACAGGGCGTAGATAACAGTGCTCCTGCCACCTCAGGGAATGGCCTGAGAAGCTGGGAAGGAGGGGCGAGTTTGGGGAAGGATGCCAACAGGCAGAGGCTGGGGCCAGATAGAGGACGGCAGTCATCTCTGTAGAGACACGCCTCTAGCTGGGCCTCCCGCCTCCCCGCAGGCCTGCAGAGGCTCCACCAGCTGCGGCGGCCCCGCTCCAGCAGTGATGCTTTCCCTGTGGCTCCTGGCCTGGCAGGCTCCTGTGAGAGCCTTTCGTCCAGCACGTCGTCTTCCTCCTCCAGCGGCACCTCCTCTGTGGGGAGTGGGGAGCTGGCAGGCTCTCCCCCGCACCGGGTTTCAGCCTGGCTGGATGATGGTGACGACTTGGACTTTAGCCCCCCTAGATGCCTGGAGGGCCTGAGAGGCCTTGACTTTGATCCTCTCACTTTCCGCTGTAGCAGCCCTACCCCTGGGGACCCTGCCCCTCCTGCCAGTCCTGCCCCCCCAGCCCCTGCCGGCTCTTTCATCCATAAAGCCACGCCCCCCACTCGTTCTCCTCGAGGCCCAGCAAGCCCTGCCCCCGCCACGGCCCTGGATATCTCGGAGCCTGTGGCTGTCTCTGTGCCCCCTGCTGTGCTGGAGCTGCTGGGGGGTGGTGCCCCTGCCACCCCATCCCCTCCGCCTGCCACCCCTGCTCCCCAGCTCATCCCCCTGCTGCTGCGCAGTGCCGAGACTGAGTTGAGTGACAGCTGCCAGAGGGAAATCCGGAGTAAATTGTCCTTAACCAGCCAGAGAGACCTACAGGGGTCACTAAGTGAGTACCCCCCCCCCCAGCATGTGGGCTCAGCCTCACTCCTCTCAGGGTTCCTTCAGGGTCCCAGGTGACAGAGCCTCCATTTCCAAATTCCCAACCAAGCCCTCCATTCTGAGGCTTTCCCCATCTCCTGACCTTTGTCTCCTCCTCTTCTCTTGTACAGGTCCTGTGCCTGGGTTTGAGTCCCCACCTCTGCCTGTGCCCCTGTCTCTCCTTCGCCCTGGAGGGGCCCCTCCCCCACCTCCCAAGAATCCAGCCCGCTTGATGGCCCTGGCTTTGGCAGAGCGGGCTCAGAGGGCAGCCCAGCGGCAGCGCCAGCAGGAGCTGGGGGGCACAGTCCCACCCCTACCTCGCTCCCCCTTCCGACGTTCCTTGTCCCTGGAGGGGGGTGGGGAAGCTCCAGGGGCCGGGGGCCCTGGGCCCCTCTTCTCCTTGGTGAGCTCCAGCCACCAAGCCCCAGGTTCCCGAGCCTCCTTGCAGCGGCAGCAGAGTGATGGCGGCCTGTTGCGCACACACGTTTCTGGTCCCCCACGGAGGGAACGGAGAGGCCCTGCACAGGTCAGTGAGAACAGCAGGAAAGTCTGTCTCTTTTCCTCCAGGGCACCCTTATTTTTGTAGAGTTTTGGCCCAATTAAGATTTACCCATTTCTTCAGCTCCAAAACAGCATTAATAAAAGTTGTGATAGCACATGTTATCTAGATACCTAAGTCCCCAAACAGAGGGGCTCCATCAGCCCAGACGAGCCATAAATCTGCAGCTATCCACAGATCTCCTTCTCCTTCACAGGTGCCTGCCTCCTTTTTCTCCTCTGCTGCGACCTCTCCCAACCCCAAGGAGCGCCCCTCACCCTTCTCTGGCCCCCCCAAGCCCCCTCTTCACTCCCTGGCTACCCCTCCCTTCCGGCCTGGTCCCCAGCTCCCTACCCGGAGGACCTCACGTGCTCCCACACTGCCCCCTGAGAAGGGGGAAAACCTATACTATGAGATCAGTGGGGGTGAGGGGCCTCCCTACCTAGGCCTGCCTAGGCCTTGGGCTTCCTTCCACCAGGCCCCTGAGGGGCTCAATGCTTCCTATGGGCTTCGGGAACAGTCACCACCCCAGGGACCCCCTGACTTCCTCTTCTGCTACCCCCCACCCCCACCTCACCCATATGCCCCGGCGTTACAACCTTTTTCCCAACATAGCCGCCTCTGCTACCATCCCCAGGAATCCCGGCGCCGCCTGGCCCATCTGGAGCCTGTCTATGTCAATTTGCCCCTAGGTGGGGGTGGACCCTCCCCTACCTCCTCCTCCTCTTGTTCTTCCTCCCCTCCTGCCCACCCCCGAAGTCGCTCTGACCCTGGTCCCCCGGTCCCTCGACTCCCCCACAAGCAGCGCTCACCTTGGGGACCCCGGCCTCCTCGACCCTGGGGGCCTCCAGATCCCCTCCTACTCTACCGGACACCCACCCAGGCCTATGGGAAAGGAGGCGGGGAGGGTCCTCATGGGGTTCAATATGGAAACGTGGGGGATGGACATGGAGAGGGGGCTGGTCCCCCACCCTCCTACCTGCCTCCCCCAAGCTGGTCCGTCCATGCTAAGGGCCAGACGCACAGCTACTGCTGAGGCTGGAGAGCCCGTCTCCTAAGCATCCTTTTTTGTAAAATGACTCCCTATGTTGGTGAATGGGAATCCTTGGAGCCCTAGCTGGCTGTGCCTGTTGATGATGACCTAGGTCCCCCCAGAGGACCCTCTGCCATCACTGGCCCTGGGGCCCCAATTCATTTTGTAATTTTCCCCAATTCCTCAAGTTTCTAACTTTGTAAACTGGTTCCAATGTGCTCTCATAACCTGTTAACTGTAGTTTCTCTGCCCTCCCCACAAAAAACTTTGTACACCTCTACTGCCCTGGGATTTCTTGCACTAATATGGGGGAGATTGAAGATGAAAACACTTCACCTCCCCCCAACTCCCAGGATCCCCCAGCATGTCCTGCTCCCCTCCCCCTTCTCATTGCCCTGTACGTGCAGCTACGAATGTGTGCCCAGGTGAAGGGCATTGGGGAGTGTGTGTGTGTGTGTGTGTGTGTGTGTGCGCGCGCGCCCAAGTATGCACATCTGAGTGCGTGTGTCCCTGCTGAGCTCCCATCCTGTGTACTAAACATTTAAGAACAAATTTTAACATTAACAGAAATAAAAGTAAAAATGAACTGTGAATTTTGTCATGTGGTATATATCCAAGCTGTATGACTGGGAAAGCTTTATTGGAGTAGGGTCAGGTAGCCTGCATCGGCCGGGCTCAGCCTCATCCACTCTCAGCTCATCGGCTTGGGGGCCCCTGAAAGACAGAGTCAGAGAGGCCATGACTGAGCCACATTCCCCTCAGGGACCCTTATTCCAGCTAGAAGGACCAGGGTTTGATTGGGGGAAGAGCTCGGTCTTGTTCTCGTCCCACCCCCACCCCATCCCTTGTCCTCCTTTACCTCCCCCCCCCAGCCTCACCCTGTAGCTCTGTGATGATCTCTTCTAGCAGGTCTAGCCTAGGGCGGGGGAGAACACAAGAGGCTGGGGTCATGGTGGGGACCCCACAGAAAGTGGAGAATGCTTGGGTGGGGGAAGGGATCACTAGCTACTTACCGCTGCAGGCTGGTGTAGGGACCAGCTTTAGCCAGTTCAGGGACCGACATCTGGCGTGGGAAAGAGGGTGGTGGAAGTGTGGACCTGGCACACAGTAGGTGCTTCATCAACACTGGCTGATTATTAGGAAAGTACTAAGACCTGAGTTACAGGGTGGGATGTGGACCCTGGAAAGTCAGCCCCTTGGAGCTTCTGCTCCCTCTGGCGTCCCGAGAGAGCAGACTTCCTCTTCTGTCGTCCACCTGGTCTGGCCAAGGCCAGCAGAGGCCCGGCAGGCTGCCCTCTCCATTCTGTGCTTAATGACTACTAGACTTCCATGCAGTGCTCACCTTTAGGCCTCATCAAAATACAATCATTCTTCCTCGTTGTACCTTTCAAAGCCCAGCACCCCCCTTCAAGCCTTCCACCATCCCTGTCATTTCTCTTTCTGAATCCCTGTGTCTTTATGTCCTATCTTACGCACTTAATCCATCCCCACTGATTAGATCATGTCAATCCCAGGGACCCTCAGCCCCCCAAAATGTCTACTGAATGACAACATGAAGGAGAAGGAGGACAGGCAGCCTCTCAGGTCCTTAGTCTGAGGGTGGGCAGGGCAGAGCCTATCAAAGTCCATCAATTTGTGTTGCTCTCCTTGTGATGAGGTGCCCAACTGAGGACCCCCCTGCAGTAATGCTGAGAACGGGCCTTGCTCCTTTCTATCCAATGTCTCTGAGCTCTTCAGACTGTGTGGGGCTCAGGAGCCCCCTGCAGGAGGAGGAGCCCCATTTTTGTCAAAGACACCTTGCACCCAGCCCCCAGATCCCTACCTGGGTCTGACCCTCCTGTCTGTCCAGGCGTCAGGCCTGGGCCATAAGGTCTGTGCATTCCTGAAGACTGGGGCCACCTGGGGATGGGGGTGGGGGTGGTCCTCAATCACTGGAAGAGGGGGGAGGAATCCTCAACCCAACTGGGGAGGGTATCTTCACCCGCAAAGGAAGGGAAGGAGGAAGGGGCTTGTCCTCACTCACTTTGAGGGCAGGTGTATGGGGATGCGGATGCCTCTGGGACATCTCCTAATGGATCTTGCAGGGCCCGGTTCCTGGCTGAGAACCTTCGCTCCAGTCCCTCCAGGGAGCCCTGGACCTGGCCCAGCAGGGAGGCTGCTCCTCTCAGCCTGGTGAGACGGGAGGAAGGGGCTGGGTCAGTGACAGGGCAGTTAGCAGGCAGTCAGGAGATGGGAGGAGGGAAGGTCAGCAGAGGCCGAGGGGCCCTCACTACCTCTGGACTGGGCATCTTCCTCTGGTCTGCTGGTGACGCTTCTTCAGGCTGGGAGCTCAGGCTGAGGCTGCTTCCCGAGTCCAAGGCTGGGGAGCTCCAGGTGTTCCCCCAGGCCCCGCTGCTCTCAGGGGACTTCAAAGTCTAGAGGGGGCATTGGAGGAACACAGAGCCTCCTCTCTCTATGCCCCAGCCAAGTCCCCGCTGCCCCCAATTCTTCCTCCCACAAACACCCGCATTACCTCAGATGGTTTGAGGTTTGGGGCCATCTTGGGGGACGGAGGTCTAGGTGTGCTAGTGACCTTGGGATCCATCTCAGAGAGCTGCTCTGTGTGTGCAGGACGTTCACCTTCCCTGCCCACTTGCCCCGCCTTACCAGGTGGTGGTGGTGGGGTCTTTGGCTCTGAAAGGGGGCCGCCCAGATTGCCCAAAGAGGCTTCTTTGAGTGCAGACTCCTACGGATTGGACAGCCCTGTCATTGTCTGCTGGGGCCTGCCCCCGTGCCAAGTTTCATCGCCCAGCCCAGCCTGTACCTGAGCCAACACCAGCCTCAACTTGTATCGGGTATCCTGCAGGCTGCCTTTTCTGTCTCGAGGCTGCAGCCCCAGTCCTGCCTTGACCAGGGGCCGGTAGGTCAGGGGAACCTGGGGATCGAGCACTGGCGCCTCCCCAGACTCCAGCTTTGCTTTGACCTGCAGGCCTTCTTGCCCAGCCCAGGGAAGGTTCCCTACGGCATGGGGGGAGTGGGGGGGGTGGAATGGAAAAAAGCTCTAATTAGGGGCACAACCCTGTTACAGGAAGGTGGTCAAGGGTGTTTTGGGGTAGGAGGTTAAATCGGGGTGGGGGGGAGGCATTACTAACCAGTAAAGACCTCTTGGGTCAGAATGCAGAAGCTGTAAAAGTCAGAAGTCAAGGCGGGAGGGTCCCCCCGAATCAACTCCAGTGGCAGCCAGGGGTACAGCTCAGACGGTGGAGGTAGCCCTGGGCTTGGGCCTCCCCAAGGATATGCTCGCTCTGGCCTGCAGAGCCAGAGGGAGGGAGAGTGAGACAGATGCATAAAGGCAGAGGCTGCGGCCTGGGGAGCAGGGTAGAGCAGAGCTGGGCCTCAAGGGTCACTCACTGGGGCCGGGGCAAGGATCGCCCGTGCTCCAGGTTGCTGACTTTGGCCAACCCGGGTCGAACCAGCTGGACTGCGTGGGAGCTGAGGCCCCCGTGGGCCCGGGCCTGGCCTTGGAGGAACAGCAGGGCCTCCAGCACCTGTAACAGCAGCTGCCCTGGGGGGAATCCAGGGGGGATTCTGGGGCAGGCCGCATCCTAGTAGGGAAAGAGGCCAGTGTCTACATTCAGTTACCTCACCTGGCCA